AAGAAGAGCATGATGAAACTGACGTTTTCAGCGGTGGTTGTTGATTGACTACCGTTGACCACATGGTCGGCAACCGATGGTCTGCACCACGGTGCCACTGGGACGGCGGGGTGCAGCAGCCAGGAAGGACGGGACGGTGAGGCAGTGCACGGGGCTAGGGTGCCACTCCGTGAAAACACTCTCTGTCTCTCGCACAACACACACAACACACACAACACACACAACACACAGTGTGTGTGTCGACATCTCTACCGGCCGCTACATGCCGCGGCCGACCCATCGCTCTGCCGCCATCATTCTCATTCGACGTTTGGTTTCTCTCGCTCCGTGGTGTCTCTCCCGCTCTCCGCAAATTGTTCTTTTGTTGTTGTTTCGTTTTTTTTCTCTTTGTGTTTGTTGTCAATATTCACTCAGGACACTACCTGGTCCCGAGTCTTGGGGCGTCGTGTCACAGTCATCAGCGTTTTCCGAGCTGCATGCAATGGAAAGGGTGATGGTTGCGCTGGCTCCGTTGAGGCCGAATCGGGTGTTGCTATGTGTAAATACCTTGGGTTCTCTCGTGCACTTACCTGCTGTTTCCGCGTCTTTCCCCTTTTGTGTGCCCGCAGAAGCATCCGCTGGTGGTGTGTCAGACCTTCCTCCTGTTCCTACGGCTGGTGCCTGTGCGTCCGATGGAGGTGTTGGTACTGGTATCTTGTCCTCAGGAACAGGATCCGTTGGTGCCTCTGGTACCTTAGGTGGTGATACTGCCGGTTTCTTGCCTCCTGCAAATGAAGCAAAGAAGAACAACGACAAAATGATACAAAAAAGGACACAAGTGGTACAGAAAGAAGGGGCGACACGGTGTGGTCAGGTAGCGGGAGGTCCGGGCTCGACGGAGGGTAGGATCCGGCTCGATGCAGTGGGTCGAGGTAGGACTGGGTGGACTGCGTACTCGGTCGACTGGGTCTAGGTGTACGGAGGTGATAGCAGTACAACTTTTATGTTGTCGCCGTCATCTCGTCCAGGTGCATCCGTCGCTGCTGCATCCCTCATCTCGTCTCCGGTGCCTCGTCGCCGCTACCACTGCCATCGCTACACGCTCATCGCCGATGCCGTCGTGGCCGTCGCCATTCAAGGTCAACGAAGTGGGGCAGCGCACCGCTGTTGGCTGTTCCGCCGTGCGTAGTTCACGTGGGTTGTTGTTCCTCCGTGCGCAGTCGTACGTATTCGTGCTTTCTCCCCATCGGTCCTTACCTGGCGATGCCTTTGATGGTGTGTTTGCTGCTTTGGCTGCGGCTTCTTGTGCAGCGGCATTCTTCGCGATTACCGGCTTTAATTTCTCCTGCACGTCTGCGATTTTCCCCTTCATGTGTTTCGCTATCTCGGCATCCTTGGTGTCTTCTGCGCCCACAGAATCGTACGTGGGTGCTGGCGCACCTGACGCCCTTAATTTCTCCTCCTCGTGCTCCAGTTCTTGCTGCACTACTCCCAAATGTTTCATAATATCCGCCTTCATTCTCGTCTTCAGTTCTTCGTCTTTCTTATTTTCATCCGCGTTGTCCTTTATTTCTCCTTCCTTTTGCAGTTGTTCCCTAGTCTGTACCTTCCTTCCCGTACACCCATCGCTTATTTGTTCCTGCTCAAGTTTCTTCTTCACGCGTGCATCCTGCTTGAGCCATTCCTTCATCTTATTCCGCGTGTTCCAAGTCTTCAATTCTATAGTCTTGTACTTGCCGTTGTTACAATGCTGGTCGCGCCAAGTGTCCTTCATGGCTTCCCACATTTGGTCCACGACGTACCATGCATAATATGTGCCCCAGTGACCCTCGCATCCGGCTTCCGTCAGTATGTCTTTATATACGTCCACTATTGTACACCGTATTAATCCCTTAATTTCTCTATTGTGCACGGAGTCCTCCCTTATGTTATCCTTTACCTCACTGCTCCACGCATTTGCAAAATATATCGCTTGCGTCATGAGTCTGCATATAACTCTTTCTGTTCGCCTGGTCATCTGCCTTGGTAGTTGGTCTGTGTTGCCATCTTCTGCTGGATGCTGCCAGTATGCATTCGCACAGTTCATAGCATTGTCGTACTCAGTGTCATCGTTCATGTGATCAATAAAAAACCCCAGTTGTGTTTGCATATCCTTCCATAATGCAGCCTGTGTTGAACACAATGCACATATATGTATGTGGTCTCACACTATTATTCACCAACCTTTGCAATCATTTAATTATAATTGGCCCTTGCTGCCTGTTACAAGTAAATGTGCCGTATGCGGTACATATGAAACACGCACATGTGCGCCATGGTGCTACGCTTTAGCATGCTGCTCTTATCCACACATATGTGCTGCCTTATGCACACGGCCTCACGCGGCTTGTATGTATAGGAAATTACCTGAAAAGGCGCAGTAGTCTGCGTTAGTCCCCTAGCCTCCGCATACTGTCTCAATATTGTCGCTAAATCTGGCGCCATGCTTGTCGTAGCATAACAACATAGAAAAGATCATGCCTTGCAGAATGCGCGTACCCGTCTACATATGTTGCACAATTACATTACGTACAAAGTCTACGTATCCAATATAATCCTCTATATGCAGTACTCATTAACATGGTTGCAACCTCAACAATATTCTACACTTGAACAGGGGGTATATATACATCAATTCATATAACCTATATAGACATATACACATATACACTCCTTATCCTTATATAAAGAACGGGGAGTTGCACAACGAACCATAATAAATACGAGTAAAAAAAACAACATAAATAAGATAGAAATAAATGAAATTAAAAAAAAAAAAAAAAAAAAGAAACAATTTCACGACACACATGTTACCTCTACAAATGCATAACAACATCATATACGCAATACAGAGAAGACCCTGTGGCTGGTCCACCCAGTCGCAATCTCCCCCCGTGAATAAGAACAAAAAAAACAAAAAACAAAGGAAAAAAAAAAAGTACTACTACACTACCGTACACACGCAACGCGTCATGAATGTACCCGGTAAAAATAACACGCCTGGTTCTCCACTAAACGCCTGTCACACACACTGTCTCTATGTGTGCGTACACCTAAAAACCGCAGTATAACAACAAAATCAAATTCTTCTTCAGTCGTACACTCGTTTACGTCGTCGAATCCTTCTTACACGCGGCCGCGTTTGCTCGACGCGTTTGCTCGCAGAGACAATGTCTCCCTCCGTTCTTACACTCGGACAATCCTTCGTCGAATCGTGGTTACACTCGGCCACAATGCGGTGTACGCGGCCGCTTTGGTCGACGCGTGTGCTCGGAGAGACAAGCGCTCCTTATACTCGAATGCGTGGTCGCATGCTATATTTGTTCTGCACGATACCCGTAGAATGCACTTGCTCAGCTTTTAATAATTAACTTCACATAAAGGAGAATACTACCCCTTCATAGTATTCATGTAAATCTACATTTTATATGCATTTAACCGGTACCCACCTGTTCCTATGGTCATGTTAAAAGAAGTGGACTACACATAACAAGAAACAAGGCAAAAGTAAGCACAAAGAAACAGAAGTAAGCAGAACAGAGCAGAAAAAAAAAAAAGACGGTATGGAATAGTGCAAACCGGAAATACAGTATGTATATCACATAATGAAGTACAAGTGGTCGGCCGTTAGCATGCGTGAGTTCCCATGCATGTGGCCCGTCATCCTAATGGCACAGTTGCTCCAATAGAGCATCTACATATAACTCCCTATCCTGCAAACGACATTCGAGCTCGCTCTCTTCGATTACGGACGCGAGAAGGAGCATCCACAATGTGGCAGTTAACGGTTTTTTCATGTAAGGTTGCGGATGCAGTTGCGACCGCGGTACATCTCTCACTTGTGGCATGTCTTCTGCTGCCATTACTTTTTCCACTTCTAAGTCGTTGTCGACTACTGATACTTCGCCTGTGGGCGTTGCTGTCTCCTCCTGTGCATTATTCAACAAATGCCTAAACCAATCTTTTTCGATGTACTTTGCCATGTCGTTATGTTGCTTCGCGACCCACTTTGTCCAGGCATCTTTTTTCATTTCCACACATGCAGTACTTCTGTGCTCACCGAATGCACGTTGTCCGTTGTCCGCGTCTGGCGCCATGTGCTCACGCAGGTATTGTTTCCATTCCGATTTGATTTCATTGAACCATGTTTGCCCCGTGCACGCCTGGAATAGGTGCTTGTTGCGGTCAATCCAACGCAGCCACGTGGTAGTGTGGGATGTGGTTATGTCTGTGATTTCGGGCTGAGGATGATCACATGTGTGTGTGTCTGTGACTGGGGCGTTGGTGTGTGGATGTATGATTGCGGGCTTTGGAGGTTCATGTGGGGGTGTGTCTGTGACTGTGTCGTCTGTGACTAACTGGTGTGTGATGTCGGGCTTAGGATCATCACGTGTGGGTATGTGCGTGACTGTGTAACATGTGGGTATGTCCGTGACTGTGTCACATGTGGTTCTGTCTGTGACTGCGTTACCGGAGCCTGGTGGTTGTGTGATTTCGGGCTTAGGATCCTCACATGTGGGTATGTGCGTGACTGTGTCGCATGTGGGGCTGTCTGTGATGTCGGGCTGAGGATGATCACATGTGGGTGTGTCTGTGACTGCTTTACATGTGGGTATGTCTGTGATTTCGGGCTTAGGATCCTCACTCGTGGTGGTATGCGTGACGGTGTCACATGTGGGTATGTCCGTGACTACGGCGTTTGTGGGTGTATGTGTGGCTGGAACGGTGGCGTCGCAGGTGGGATGACGGGCGTGGTAATGACGCGGTCGGTCTGCGTTGGCTGAAACATTGGTCCATGGTGAACCATAGTCTGAGGTCAAAAGACCCAAGATATTGTTATTGCTGTTGGCGTCCCGTATCATATCGTGCGCACACTCCTGTGCAAACTCCTCCACGAGTATCTGCAAATAGTCGTCGTTGACGTTTTCCCACTCGGTTGCTTCACATTCGTTGAGCACTTCTAGATGTAGCTCGATGATCGTGCGTGTATGCACGCGTGGTGGGCGTGCTCTACCGGATGTTGACGCAGGTTGCCTATCCCTAATTATCGTGTACCCGTAATCGGGTGGCGGCTCGCCGCGTTGTAGATGATCCAATATTTCTTCGTCGAGTGGCGGTGACGGCACGTCACGAACGGTTCGATATGTTCGTCGTCGTCTTTGTCCGAGGTAGGCAAAGTACTAAGCAAAAAAAGGGGGGTAAATAGGAGGGTGAGGACGGTAGGATAAAAGGAATGCACGCGGATGTAGGGGCATATTGGTTAGAACGATCATATATGGGAGCCGGTTGGGATGTGCTGCGGTATAAACATCCGGCACATGCGGGATTCCGTGATTGCCATATATACTTACCTTCCAAAGGGAATAACCAAGAACGGCCACGATGACGGAAGCGACGAACAACAGGATCGGAGTAGTGGCGGTAAGGACGTCCGCGGTTAGGTCGGGGCCATCGGGACCTCCGGGACCCTTAGGTGGATGTTCACTTATAACTGTCCTATGTGGATCAATGGGCGCAGCGTTTGGTCCATATGCTCCCCCGATACCATCTGCATGTGGTTTAAAGTCTAAATCTAAACCAGGGTCCTTGTTCGCATTTGTTCCATTGGAACCAGTGCTTTGTACATTGTTGCGTCCGGGGGAAGGAACAGGACTAGGGGGTTGGTGACCAGTAGAACCAGTACCGGAGGAACGTGGATTCGTAGTGCCCGTGGAGCCAGTACCAGTAGAACCTGGACCCGTAGGACCAGCTGCACCAGAGGAACCTGTGTCATGTGTGTGACCATGTTGATCAGGATCAGTGGAGGTAACTGGTGCCTTGGGGGGCTGGGACTCTTGAGATGGTTGTGTCGTGGGAGAGGATGCGGCAGTATGCCCATCATGGGCTTTATCATCCTTAGCAGTATTGTCGGCCAGCGGTGGATCAGGCTTACTGCCACCGGAGGCTGAGGAACCGTTACCAGTAGTTACTGGTGCCGGATCTACAACTTTTGTTGTGTCAGTATGGGTATTATCAACACCGGTGGTGTTCGTTTTGGAAGAATCATCCTGGCCATTAGAGGCCTGGCCTTCAGGTATCTCTAAATTCTGTGTCGGTTCAGTGCCTGCTCCTGGAGTTCCTGCAAGGGCTCCCAACGGGAACAAGTGGAAATATGAGGACTCTGAAGTGTGTACGTTGCATGGCTACGACAATGGTCATCTTTGTGCATGGTCTGTCGGCCACACGGTGCGTCGTTTAAGGTTGACCCGTGTATTGGGACGGCGTGGCAGGTGCCACCACGGGAAAAGACTCTCTCTCTCCCACGCAGCACACAACACACACACACAGTGTGTGTCGATGTCTCTACCTGTCGACGTCTGTCTGCGTCTCTACGACACTCTACATCCCGCGGCGGCTTACTCTTCCCCGCGTCGCTCTGCCCCTAATTCTCATTCGGCGTTTGGTTTCTCTCTCTCCGTGGTGTCTCTCCCGCTGTCGCCGGAAAAGTTGTTTCCTTTTCTGTCTTTTTTTTTGTGTGTTGCATGTTGTGTCCTGTTTTCCTTCTCCCAGAAGACTCAGTCACAGGGGTCCGTCGGGACAGGGACCGCTGCGTGCACAGTGCTATCACGTGAATCTGTACGTGCCGTACCTGAGCATGCGGTAGATGAAGGAGTACTGAGGACCTGAATTTGAACACGTCCACCGCCT